TGCGGCGTGACCATCCCCCCTGGGGGGTGATTTCTCGCTTTCTGTCTCTATGTCTCTGTCTTTCTGGCAAGCGCACGCGCCCTATAGCGAAAACCTCTCCAAGAAAAGAAAAAGAACAGATGAGCTCCCTGCCTTTAAGATAACTTGAGATCAGCAGACGGCATAATGGTTACATTGTTGGATTTTCACATAGTGAACTACAGTTCAAGTCCCAGACCTGGAAGCTTAAAATTCACACGAGGCATATCGTGTGTGTACCCAAAATCCCGAGGGGAGAAGGGATTGTGCTGTGGCTATCCTCCCAGGGTGTGATTTGTCACTTTCTGTCTGAGGACCACACACACCCTTATAGCAAAAATCTCTCTTTTAAAAAAAGATAACTTGGCATATGGTCTGGCAGGTAGCATGTGGCATGGTGGCGGAGGTGCTGGATTCCAACATGCTCAACCATGGTTCCAATCCTAGACCTGGAAGCTTGCTTTCTCACTTTCTTCTCTCTCTCTCTCTGTCTTTCACTTTCTGGTGAGCACACGTGCCCTAACTCAAATTAACCAATAATCATAATAATAAATAATTCTTCAAAAAAAATTACCTGACATATTCAAACCCAAACAATAAATTTGGGAGATAATTACCATTTATAAAAACATGTTCTCTTGGGACCAGCAGTTAGAGTAATGGCTATGTTGCTAGACTCCCATGTAGTCGACTGCAGTTCGCGTCCTGGACCCAGTGGTTTAAAACTCACACCGGGTGCATGTGCGTGCGTGCCCAAGATCCTGAAAGGAGAATGGAGGAGAAGGGATTGCGGCGTGGTCATCCCCATGGGGAGGAGGGGGGGGGATTTCTCGCTTTCTGTCTGTCTCTCTCTGGCTAGCACTTACGCCCTATAGCAAAAACCTCTCAAAATAAAAAATGTTCTCTTAAACACTAGTTACAGAAATATGTACAAGAGCCACAAGGTCTTCAAAAAGTTCATGAAAGATGCGTATAAGAAAACTATGCACGGATTTTGAAAAGTTCTGCAAGATATACAAAATAAACTTGTAAATTACATTTTTCATGAACTTCTTCAACTCCCCTCTGCATGTCCCGATTTACGCACAATTATTTTTAGGCTTTGTGGATTTTTTTTTGCCATAGTGATTCCGTCACTGCACTTCCATGTGGCCAACCACAGCTCAAGTTCCAGACCAGGGGCTTAAAACTTATGCCAGGGCTGGCAGGTGGCATGGTGTTTAAGGGCACTGGACTCCCACATGGCCGACCGCAGTTCAATACCTGGACCTGGTGGCTTGCTTTCACTTTCCTGTCTCTCTCTTGCTCTGTTCCTCTCCAGTCAAATTAAAAATGAATATAGTTAAATAAAATAATTCTTTAAAAAAAAAAAAAAAAAAAAAAATAAACCTCATTGCAGGCACATATGCAGGTGTGCCCAAGATACCAGGAGGAAAATGGAGAAGGGATCCTGGTGTGGCCATCCGCCCTGGGGGGGGGGTGATCTCTCACTTTCTGTTTCTGTCGTCTCTGTCTCTCCGGAGAGTGCACATACCCTGCAGCAAAATCTCCCCCCCCAAAAAAAATTACTGAGTACCCGCAGGCAACAGGATTAAGAGAAAGAGTTAGGTCCTTATAATAAGAGCTTGAAAATCTACATGTGGCACCAAAAGTATGTGATAGGAAATACAAAGCCGGCAGCAGAAACTTCCAGTGAGGAGAGAGAGCAGGATTATGAAGAAATAGAACAGAAGTGCTGTCTAGTTAAAATAACTCCAGACCAGCAGGTGGCATAAAGGTTATGTCTTTGGATTATGGTCCCTTAGTCTTCGGATCTTATCAAGAAAAAAAAAAAGAAAACAGAAAAGACACAAGAGAAATCCTACGTGTTCCAATTCCTGCTTCCCAATACACTCCATCGGGCTCAAAGGGCTGCTGGGAGACGTGGATTATATAAATCTCCCCCATACTGCTATTCCCTGAAATTATGAATAACCTTTATCTCAAGTGTATCTAAGGTCACTGTCTTTCAAAAACTATGTTCAAGATATCAACTTCAACTCATTCTGGGAAAAATCCTTCACATCTCTTCTAACACTGAACACTGACCCGCTGCTGCTAACAGCCCTCACTATTTGCAGAACACGGAACTCCCTCTACCACCTAAATTTACTTTGCTTATTCAATTAACACCGTTGTTACCCTCCAACGGGGTGAGTGGGGCTTTTAGGGATTGATGAAGTTAGGCAAATTAAAGGCCAAAGCGCAGTTTAAAGTCTGGCCTTATCACTCCAAAGCAGGGGGTGAAAGAGGGCTCAGGGGCAGCAGAGGATAAAGGGGGCGTATCCACGGGCACTCCCCCGGCAAAGAACCTGCACAGTGTTCGACCACGTTTAGGGGAAAGGCCCAGAAAGAAAAGACTGGCAAGTGCCAGGCCGGGACATCAAGATGGGGCACCTTACGAAGGTCACTCAAAGTTCTGTGCACAGCAAAGGTTAGTTCAGACAAACCACGTGGAGAACCAAGGGTCGCCCGACGCCGGGTCTCCTGCCGGGCCCAGAAGGCGCCGAGAAAAGCGCTCCCGGGTCCGCGTCTCGGTTTTCTGCCGCGCACGGTGGTCAGGAGAAGAAACTGCGAGGGAAGCAGGAGCAGCGACTACCTCGAACAGAAGGCGGAGGTCCGGAGAAGGGGACCGGCAGGGCGGGTCGAGGGGCGGCGCTCTGGGAGTGGGTCCAGCACGCAGGCGCCCAGGGGAGGCCGGGGACCAGAAACCCCC